GCTGTCCCCCAGCCCAACACGGAACAAGTGAGTGTTTAACGAATAGTGATTGGACATGAGGCGAGACATCATACGAATGAAGTCTCGACCCACATCCAACCCCTTGAACCAAGGACTCTTCGACACCTTAGGGATGATTGAATATATCCATCGTCCCAAACTCCCTTCACTCCACTTATTCTGCCAGCTGACGAGTGACTGTTGACGGTAAATGAAGAAAAATTCATCGTAGGCGATTTGTCGATCGTAAATATCGTCTTCCATAGCGCCCACCTTAGCAAGTGAGTCAGCCATCTCATTGCCCAGAATCGAGCAATGAGATGGGACCCATGCAAAGGTGATGACAAAAGATCTTAAAGATAAAGCACTTAAAAGCTCTCGTATTTTCATGAGAAAATACGAGGAGTGCTTTACCGGCCTCATAGAGCGAATAGCCTCGACAGAACTGAGACTATCCGTAAAATAAAATAATGATCTGGTGCAAGTGAGGCGATCGTTTCTAGCGTATAATGTATTGCCGCCAGCTCAGCAACATATACGGAACAAGGAGCTTGAAGCATTCGAGAGGCGCTATGAAATTCGTTAAAAATAACAAAACCAGCGGACGCCTCTATTAGTGATCGATCTGTGAAGAACGATCTTGCGGAATCAACTTGGCCAAACTTTGCAGCGTAAATTGACGGAACAATCGTGGAACGATGATGTTCTGGGATTCCACGAATCTCCCGCGTCATAGATAAATCAAAACTAACTGAATTGCCGAAGTCGGAGAAGCATACACGATGGGGATTATGCTGTGAAGGGCTGACATCCAGTGTTATGTACACGTAGTACAAAGTAATGAAACGAGTTTGAGGGTTCAGCTCAAGAAGCTTCTCAAAGTTTTCGATTACCAGTGGGAGGAACCTGAGGGATAATTCCGAAAACCGATAATACAGTTAGAAGATCTTGCGGATGGGCTCCCCACCACGTTCCGGTAATTGTTCGAAGAAAATTGATCCTTTGTTGGCATTTTCATCTCAGATACTCAATGTGGGATCTCCAGGTGCATTTGGAATCGAACCAGACCCCAATATATTTGAAAGACATGGAATGAGTGATCGGCTTACCCAAAAGTTGAAGCTTCGGTTGTGCTGGGCTATGCTTCCTAGAAAAAACGGCCAACTCAGTTTTCTCCGAGGAGAATTCGATAGCCCAAGTAGACAAGTTATCTAAGGTATCCTGTAAAGGTCCTTGCAGGTCGACCTCTTTGGGCCCTGTCATTGACACTACTCCGTCATCTGCAAGTTGTCTCAACGTGCAGTTGTCACTTAGACAATTGTCAATTTCTCTGACGTAGAAATTATACAAAAGGGGGCTTAAACATGAGCCCTGGGGAAGACCCATGTAACTAAATCGAGAAGCTGTAGAGTTTCCATGAGAAAAGCTCATATGTTTCTCTGACATCAAATTGTACAAAAAGTTATTAATTAATGGAGAAAGGTCACAAGCGTGGAGTTTGTCTGAAAGGACTTCAACCGATACTGAATCAAAAGCCCCCTTAATATCCAAGAAGACAGAAGCCATTTGCTCTTTTTTAGCAAAAGCCAACTGAATTTCTGTGGAAAGCAACGTGAGACAGTCGTTCGTTCCCTTGCCCCTACGGAGACCAAATTGAGTGTCTGAAAGTAGGTGGTCTTAATCCATTTGTCCAAGCGAAAAAGGATCATTTCCTCCAACAATTTTCGAATGCACAATAACAGCACGATGGGACGATACGAGTTATGATCTGACGCGGGTTTTTCAGGCTTTTTAATGGCTATAACTCTCACTTGCCTCCAATCATCCGGAACAATATTGAGCTCTAGCAACTGACAAAACAAGTTCAACATGTGCCTCTTAGCGCCGTCTGGGAGGTTCTTCAACAAGTTGAACTTGATTCTATCAGCCCCCGGAGCCGAATTGCCACACGAAAGGAGTGTGAGTGAGAGCTTCAGCATTGAAAAAGGCGACTGATCTCGTCTACCGAATTCGTCGTTTCGCGAGGAATCATCTGTGCCGGCACGGAATCAGGACATACTTTTCGCGCGAACTTGAGAATCCAACGATCTGAATACTCCTCCCTCTCGTTGTTCGAAGACCGGTTACGCATCCTTCGCGCCGCGTTCCAAAGCGTATTCATCGACGTTTCGCGCGATAACCCGTCCAAGAATTGCCGCCAGTATCCGCGTTTCTTGGCTTTGATGAGGCTTTTGAGTTCGCGTTCAAGAGCCAAGTACGTTTCGAAATGCACGGGTGTTCCACGTTTCCGGAAAAGCTTAAACGCGTCGGACTTTTTACGATAAACCTCAGTGCATTGGTGGTCCCACCAAGGGGAAGGAGGTTTCCTACGGAAAGACGTTCCAGGAACTGGCCGAGTTTGAGCTCGAAGCGTGATGTCCAAGATCAGATTGGAGAGGAAGTTATATTCCTCCAACGGTGGAAGCCCTTCTACCGACGACACGGCTTCCTCTATCGCGGTCTTGAACATTGTCCAATCGATATTACGGGTGAGGTCGTACCCGACGTTAACGGATTCCGACGGATTGAACCCACTGGCAATCGAAATTTTGATCGGCAAGTGATCACTACCGTGGGGATCCTGGATCACATTCCACGTGCAATTCAACGATAATGAGTAAGAGCAAAGTGTGAGGTCTAATTTACTTCCATTTGAGGATGGACCAGCCAAACGTGTTACTTCTCCATTGTTAAGTATCGTCATATTGAAGTTGTCGCAAAGGTCATTTATCATAGTAGAACGGTTGTCATCATACAGTTCCCCCCAGCCTGTACCGTGGGAATTAAAATCTCCCATAATCAACCGTGGAGCAGGAAGTACCGAACATATATCTAAAAGTTTTTTTCGATTAACAACGGCTCTAGGAGGAATATAAACAGAAGCAATACAAAGGCACTTTAAAAATAACCTGACATGCAACAATTTCAATACCTGGAAATTGTGGAAGATTCACTCTATATAAGGAATGGCACTATAATGGCGAACTATTGTTGGCAGCATTAAAAATCTCAACAGAAACTTCCTCCTTCGACAATGTTAGAACATTCCGCTTAAATCCACTGGAACTAATGCTAGCAGCATCGAATATCTCCACCGGAAACGACTGGAACCTCTTCCGTCCACAACGTCAGAAAAGTCCACTGAAACTTTCGTTTGCAGCATCGAAAATCTTCATCGGAATTAACTGGAATCCGTGCTGGAACCTGCTCCGTTGAGAATGCAGAAACATCCAACGGATCTCAGTCGATAATTGATAATATCTTCAATAATCTCCACATGCCTTGGAACTCTTTCCCATATGTTATCTGGAATATGTTTAATTTTTTGAGCTTTTTGAAAGTTCTTGTAACTTTATTAATTTATTGGAACCGCCTTAAAATTGTATAAATTTACATGAAGCTCTCGGAACTTCCCAAAAGTACCCACAATTTTTCTAATATTGACTTTCATAAAGATCTTTAAACTAAATTGAAGCTTTGACAACTTCCTGCACTTGTCCTGAAGTTAATGGAACTGCACTGCAGCTCCAGTAAAGTTCTTGAAACGTTCCTCAAAACTATGGAACTTCCCTAAGCGACGCCGGTGGTGTAGTGGTAAGCGTGATTGCCTCTCACCCCAGCAGGCCTGGGTTCAGTCCCAGTCGGCGTGGCCGGGATGTTCTGAGGCATAGCATCTCTGATCACGGGAAGGGAAGTAAAGCCGTTGGTCCTCGGTTCATGAGTTGATGGGTCGATAGGTAGGGTCCAGGTGTGGGAGCTGCCTTCCTGGCGTCGGTAGCATTGGTGCTCAGCACGGAAAACAAGATCGACGGAAAACAAACCAAAGGAAAAAAAAAATATGGAGCTGCCCTGATGCAATACGAGCCTGATATTAAGGATCTTAACATTTCCCCGCAGTTCTGGACGCGTTTGATGTTCTGAAAATACCCTGAAGTTTTCGGAATTTTCATAAAAATCTTGGAATTTCCATGAGATTTGCAAAATTTATTGAAAGTTCCTGCAAATTTTCTGATGTTAATGCATCTATCATGAATATATTCCAGAAGTTCTCGGAACTTTATTAAAGATCCCACAATCTTCCTGATGCTCGTGACTCTTAACTTCTCTGACGTTTTCTGGACATTGTTCTTGGAAGATCTGTGAAAGTCTTGCATTTTTTTTAAGATAATCAAACCACCCAGATATTTTCAAAATTATTAAAAATCCTAAGGATGTTCCCAAACTTTCCCACAATTTATCAAATGCTAATGGAATTACCCCGAAATTCTCAAAACATTTCCAAAGCTCTGTGACCTTTTCTAAAGATCTTTGAACCTATCAAGAGTTTTTTCGAAGTTCTTGTAAAGTTCCTGAAATGTTCATGAAGTGAATGAAACTGTCATGAAATCTATATTCGCGAACCTAACCCTTCAAGGTCGCTGAACTTCTCCAAAGTTCTGGAGTTTCCTGAAGCCTTCGGAGCTTCCCTGAAGTTTTTTTTTGAAATTTCTCTGAATATTTTGGATAATCCCTCAAGTTATTGGAAGGAAGTTTTAGTTTAGTTCTGAAGCTCCCTGATTTTTATTTGACTTTCCTAAATTTCTCAGAACTGCTTTCAAGTTCATGCACGGGAGAGTTGTCTACATTTGTAAGCGAAATTGATTTTAAACGATTTTTTTTTGCCACGATGGGTTGAGCAAGGGTGGAAAAATCCATTGAACAAAACTCGAATCGAAATCGCTCATTAGTAGTGTTATCTGGTCGTAAAAGAGGAGTAGGATGATGCTTAGCACAGGAAGCAATCATTAGAAGAGTAAAAGTAAGATCGAACTCTATGCACAGACGATGAAGTGACAATCCACTCGCGATTCACCCAAGAAAATCAATTACCACAAATTTACATCTTTGAGACACGAATCGATCGTTCACCAAGTAATTTCGGTACGCTTTAGCTCGAAAAAAAAGACCAGCAGAGCAGCATGTTTCGAATTAAATAAGTTCCATTCACAGGATATTTATTCTCGTCTTTCTAAAGAGTTTCACTTTTTCACATATGGTAAATACTTTTTTCAAAAATTTCAAGTATCTTAAACGCTAAACACTTTTTTACAATAGTCAACAATTTCTTTACCTAAATAGCTTTTCAAACCATTGCTATGCTAAAACCTAAAACATCCATTTAAAATAAAATATTGTCTTGATATGTTTCAATATTATACTCATTTGCCCTAACTATCAACTACTTCACAACAAAAAGTTCAAAGTTTGCTGAACTTCCACATTTCGTTGCACACCAAAAGATCACTTCATTACCGATTTTCGTTGTCTACGAGGCGAATTCTCACGTGTTTTTCTGCATAGGTGTGTGTGCGCGTGTAAAAATTGGTCTCGGATAAATACTGAACCACTTTTCTTCTGTTTACTTTATCTATCTATCTGCAAACAAGAAAGGAAGGGACGGGGTGTGTGTGTGTGTGCTTGTGTCTATGTTTGTTTATTTCTGTGTTTTATGGGTTCCACTTAAAAACGAAATTAAACTACACATTGGACTAACTAACCTTAATTTTACAACTTTTTTTTTCCATTGCTTGTCTATCATTCGCGGGTAGTTAGGCCACCAAAGCTTGAGCTCTCTGGTGACTACATGAGAATGAGAGGAGTGTATCGGGTGTGTGTGTGTGAGAGAGTGTGAGTGAGTGAATGTTTTGCTCCGAAAGTTTACAGCCTTAATTTTATTTTCATCACATGATGAGAAATTGGACCATTAAGGAGTTGGTGGGTAAGAGGAGTTTTGTGCTGGGCTGCGTTTTCGCAGTGGCGTTAGCAGTCCGATTTGAGTTTGTCCGCCGGGTACCATAGATAGGTGGGGATGATTTGTGATCATTGTCCAAAGGCCAAGTCGTCCCTCGAACGTGCGATTTGTGTGTAAATGGATTCGAAGAGTGAAATTTTTCCCAGCGAAATAGAAGGGTGACTGGGTGGGGAGGTGGTAGGTGGAGAAGTGGTGGTGGCTTATGAGATGAACTGGATCTGGCTCGGAATCAGAGTGTTGTAGCAACGGCGCGGGAATAAACGTGTAGGTTTATGATGTGAAAAGAAAGGCGCTCTCTGGGTCCTCCGCCGCGCCGCGACGGACTCTTGCTCTATGCAGATTTATTGAAATGGATGCCCTCGGGCGGTTTCTGGATTTACGCTCGTAATATATATCAAGATTTTTATGCGTTTCTCACCCATTCGCACTAGGGATTCACACCTTTCAGTGACGGTGTTCAATTTGTAGTCTGTGAGGACTCGAAAGAGTGATGACTGGATGGGATGGGAACTGACTTTGATTGCGACTTGAATCCCGGTGCACGGGGAATTCCAGTAGCAGAGAGCGCTGAACGCCGGACAATCCACTGAGGGTAGGAGTAGGAGTGCTCCAGGGTTTAAAATATACATAGACAGACAGAGTGTCCATTGAGATGACATACATGATTGCACTCTTGGCCGACGGGGCAAAGGACTGGTGGTTCAAGTGTCGAAAGGAGTGATTCAGAGCATTTAACTCCAAGTGTTTGAACAAGTTTTGAGGAAAGACCCGGTGGGTCCACATGGTTGAGCGCATGGCAAGAATAGAAGGAAACGATCGGAGTTGATCTTGAGGAGTGATTTACTTTGCTAAGGAGGAAGGAGAATAAATATTTGAGTTTATTACACGGGTAGTGTGTTTTTAAAATTACAAGATCTATGATTGATTCGAGCATGCATCGGATTAAGTGAGATACTGTATGGGATATGGAAACCGGGGAAATATTGATTATAATTTGTCATTCATAAGCAAAATTTTGTTGTGGCTTTCTGTTTGAATTTTCTTCTGAGAAATGCTTTATTAAAATATCGATTCAAGGAAAAAAAACTCCCACAATATACCACTTTAATCCCCTCAGCATGCCCCAGCCTTCCATCGATCACTTGCCGGCTGCGTTCCTTAACTCCTATCGGTACATACAAACAAATTTGGTTTTCTTCGAATTCCTCCGAGCTTCCATACAGATTGGAAGCGTTGGAACCAATTCGGTTTCCTACTGACCACGTTGTCCTTATCAATCGATTTACTCTAGATCTACCGTGCGAGACTACGCACAAGATGTCACAGAATAATGGTTCGTTTTTACAAAAAATAATAAAGTAAAACAAGCTACTGGCACATGTTATATTTTCGATTTCAATCACACAAACTGGCCTTGCACTAGGTTGTCATGAGGCACTCTCTCTCTCTTTCTCTTTCTATGTTTCTTCCTTTTTTGGGTAGCCACTATTTACAGGTTTATTTGACGTTTGGGAGGAGTCTGTACAGTGCGATTTTGGTGGGTCTTCGAAGGACTCGACGGAGGAGTTTGTTGGTCTTTCAGACCTTGGTGGTTAAATCGAGCGGGGTCGTTCCCTGCAGCTTCATCCGTTTGACCTCCCGTTCGTACTCGGTTTCTCGGTCTTCCATGTCGGAGTCGCTCCCACTCCCATGGGCCGACGAGGAACTCTGATGCCGCTGGTGGTGGTGGTGATGGTTATTGTGATGGCTATGGTGGTGATTGTGGTGGTGGTTGTTCGAGAGGGTATTATTGTTGGTGTATTTGGTGGGTGGTGAGTTACGATCATTGGAAACGACGACCAGCTGTTCGTCGTCACTGTCGGCACCGGAAACTGAGGTCCGGTGGTCTTCGGAGGAGCAACTGCTTCCGGTTTTCATGCTCAGATCGATGGGATTGTCCTGGTGAGGACCTGCTACGGCGGCAGGTGATCGTGGAGGAGTCATCGGTGCCGGAGCGACCTCTTCGGGTTCGGGTTCTTCCTTGGCGCTTCCCGCAGTTTCGTTGCTGGGACACCGCTGCGATTCGAGCACCGCGTCCAGATAGAACCGTTTCGAGAAGGATTCTGGTGATTTGGTTTCAGTGGGCGTGGTGTTACTGTTGGAGCTGCTGGTGTTGTGATTTGGTGTGAAGCGGCTGTTGTTGTTGGCAAGCGGTGAACTGCTGAGGATCGGGGAGTCAGCAGGTTTCAGCAGACCCTGATGGTGTGGGTACAAGGCCGGATGGAAGCCAGAGAACATCAGATGGGATGGTGGTAGGAAACCTGGCGGTGGCATCAGTGGGAGGCCTCCAAACGGAAGCGGTAGGAACAGTTCCTTGTTGATCGTAGGTACTTCGTGTAGCTTTCCCTGACGGAGTAAGGCATTTCGCCGATCGTTGATTTCGTTGGAGCTATCCGAATTGTGGCTATCGGGAGAGCTGACCGAAGGTGACGCCGATGGGTGTTTGCTGTATTCTTCCAAGCCGAGGAGCATCAGTTCTTCCTTGGTGCAGGGAGGTCGGGAGTACATTGGATGGGGGTAAGCGCCAGGTGGTCCGAACATCCCGTGAATGGAAGGGGCTCCTGTTTTATGATTGGCCGCCTGCTGTTGGGCAGCTTGCTGCTGTTCTTGCAGCAGACAGTGGATCTTGAACCAATTGGATCGACGACCGTACCGGGAGCCACTCTTGGACATCCCGACCATAAGGCACTTGCGTAGCCGGCAGGCCTTGCATGCCGTGCGGTTCTTCTTGTTGATGATGCATTCTCCGTTGTTCTTGCACTCGGAGATCGATGAGAGATTGTTGTACGAGCGACCGAAGAAGGACTGCAAAAAAAGAGAAAGAGATCGAAAAATTAGTCTTCCGTATTAGCGAGGTTCTACGCCCATCCCGATTTACGCAATTGAGTCATTTGTCAGCATGGGTAAGCTCCGTGTAAAACGCCCCAGCATTCCCAGCAGGAGCTTCCACCGCGGGTGCCATACCGATCCAAGTCGCATTTCAAATCAACCTACTTGAGAGCAGTGCACTATTAATTACCCACGCCAGAAGCCATCCATCGCTGAAGTAGGACTCAGCCGCAAGAAGTGCCGATCGAACAGCCCAAGGAGCGAAATCTTACAGTTTATAAAGTGTCTCTAATTTATCACCACTTGAGCTGCTGCGTTCCGCGCGCACTGAGCACAAAAACGAGCAGCAGCAGCAGCAGCTTTCATAATTAATTGCCGATCATGGTGCTGCTCATTTGCACCCAACCGATCGCTCGTTGATGAAGCCCTCTCCGGAGTCATCGTTTGTGTGAGTGTGTACATATCGTTCAATTTCCCTTTCATAGACGTTGAACGGCGTTGCTGTTCTGAAGAAATCCGTTCCATCCCAGAGGGGTAGCACAAAAGACTATGCTGAATAGACGAGAAGCGAGCGCGCACTAAATACCGAATCAATCAATCACTCAAGCGTGTTCCAATAGTACCAACTCTGCGCCGTTCATGCTACCATCTTTCTCCTCTCCTGCAGCAGACACAGAAGCTAAATTACACAAATCTGTAATTACACAGCATCGGAAGATATCGAGCGCGCACCGGTTGGCGGCGCCATTGTTGCTACGACTAGCGGCCTAGCGGAGCCCTTTGTCTCTACGACGTAGTCACGCTCGGCGTTTGGAAGTCTGGCAAACATATCGAGATCACTGGATCGGAAATACAACCTCTGCTCTCGCGAAAAAAAAAAAGCGCGGGAAATTGCATCAAAATGTTGGACTTAATTACATACACCTAGATCGACGGGACCGATGGTTTCGAAATTTGACAAAACTCACGCACTCCTCTCATATGGATACCTCTCCGACCATCATGCTAGGCACCCATGAATTAGCGCGGGATCCGCTGAAAAATTTCATAATCATCCTACTCCTCCGTGAAGGCAGACTGCGCACAGGAGAGATATTCGATGACTTTTCGAGATCGTAAGGTGTGGTACCGTCAGAGAGGAACCCCTTGTGCGCGAAGGAAGTATAACGAGTGCAAAAATTATAATAAATTACAATCTTTTACGATCACTCCCCGGCATCAGCACCGGCACTTGAAGGGATGATGGGTGGCGCGGTAAATGCACTCACAAATGGTGCAAAGTCACTTTCGCCTCTCGCGCGCTTCCTCTTCTGCCGTCGTCGTCGGCGACGACTTTACACGGCCCAAAGCTTCGGGCTTGAGAAATGAGGGATGAAATGATGCAGTTTGGTGAATTTATAAATCATTCTGACAAATTTGTAATTGCTGATGGTGGTGTAGGTTGCGGGGTTTGAACGAGATTCTTGTTGGATGGTTTCATCGTTCGGTTTGGGGCAGTCAAGTTGAGGTTGTTGGTTTGGATGATGTGGTTTTATTGCTACCAAGCTGACATCAATTGCTACGTAAATTGTTACAAAAAGAATGGAAAATAAGATGAATAATACATTAGGATGCTTCATTTTGAAATGTGATGAATTTCTGATGGGACACCCTCCAGTTCGATTCATAATCCCAAAATATGAGCCTATGCCAAAATGTTAAAGATTGATTAAGGTTTAGAGGTCGTGCAAATGATGTTATGAAAAAAGTGACTATCGAATCTAAATTTACTGGGGCCTAAGATTAAACCCATGATTTTCTGCTCACTAAGCAAAAACGGTCACTCTAAGGCCACCGAGTCTCTGATATCACAGGACACCACTTATAATTGAGTTGCTGTTATATCCATTCAAACCTGGCACCGATGACGACGACAAGTTTCACAAAATACCCAAAGAGCTAGTGGCTAGTGACTTCAAAATTCTTTAATAGCATAAAGTCTGGAACGCGAAAAAATCGGTCAACTTTAAATTGATGTATTTCTGGCAGAAAGCTGAAATGCTGCATTTGGAAGTTGAAAATAAATACAATGGTTGCTCTCCAGTTTTTAAAATGACGTCCAAGCAAGAGGAGCAGCGTGACAAAAATTTTGCTCGCGCAGCAAGAGAATCCGACGTTATCACACGCCAAGTTGGCAAAATTGCTGGATGTGACCAAATCGACCGAGACAAACGTTTTAAAAGTGTTTGGGGAGCGTCTGTCGACCGCCAGGAAGCCTGGAAGCGGTGGCAATCGTAATCCGGACGTGGCAGCGACGACGAAGAAGGTGGCGGTGAAATATAAGCGGAATCCAAACCTCTCCATCCGGGACGTCGCTGGCAAGCTCAATGTCTCCCATACTACTGTGCAGCGGGTCAAGAAACGAGCCAGGTTGTCGACGTTTAAGAAGGTGAAGGTGGCGAACCGAGATTACAAACAAAACACGTCGGCAAAGCAGCGGTCCCGAAAGGTGTATACGAATCTGCTCACAAAGTTCGACTGTGCCGTCATGGACGACGAAACTTATCAGCTTCCGGGACAGGAGTTTTATACTGCATCAGGAAAAGGGAAGGTGGTTGAAATTTTCAAAACCATAAAACTTTCGAAGTTCCTGAAAAAATATCTCGTCTGGCAGGCCATATGCAAGTGTGATCTAAAAAACGGCATTTTCATTACTACGGGAACCATCCATCAAGAGATCTACGTCCAGGAGTGCCTGGAAAAGCGGCTGCTACCATTCCTAAAGTAACATAATAGACCTGTGCTGTTCTGGCCGGACTTGGCGAGCTGCCACTATGGGAAAAGGTAATCGAGTGGTACGATGCGAACAACGTTGTTGTGGATCCCAAAGACCACAACTTTCCCAATAGCCCAGAACTCCGCCCTATCGAACGGTTCTGGGCCTTGATCAAACGGAATATCAGCAGTTTAAATCTAACTGTCGTTCGGCGGCGAATAAGGTCGATGAGACCACTGCGCAAAATTTAATTGAAGGGGTTAAGCGGAAGGCACGGCAGTTCGGATTTGGCAAACCAAAAGAATAAACGAACATTTTTTTCTTTAAATATATGAATTGAACTACCAAAATAAGAAAAAAGAAGATTTTTGTGATATGAATTTTGACTGAAAGAAACGATTTTTTTGTCGACTTATTTTTGCGAGTTCCAGTCTTTAGGGCCTGGAAGTGATCCACGATTTTCTGCGCAGAAAGTCAAAACCGCACACCATCGCACCAACCGAACAATATATCACGGACCATCGAGGTTATCCCGACAGGTGGCAAAAGAGAATCAATATCAGTTGTAATTAATTTATTAAAATAGTTTCCGACTGGAACGAACTCACCAAACCAAACCATGAGCGATGATTTCACCAAATTTCATAAAATATTCCTGAAATTTATGAAACCGCCATGAAGCATACGAAACCAACCCAAATTGTTCAAAAACTATCCCCGTAGTTCTGGACGTTCTGGAGTTCACGAAACTACCCTGAGGTTTTCAGAATTTGTAATTTCCATGAAATATTCAGAACTTCTGGAAAGTTCCCACAATGTTTCAGCTGCTAATATAATCATGGAATCGGACTTAACCCGGACCTCAAGTCAAGAGCCCTCTCAACGTCAACCTGGCCCAAGGGTGTCCTATTCCACGATTTTAAGGACAACACTAAAGTAAATTTTTGGAAGTCTCAACGTACGCCAAAAGCCATTCCTTCATCGGACATCGATTCCCCCAGTGGACCAGATCCGGAGTAAATTCTGGTATACTACGACGAAGCAATAACTACACCTACTCTTCAACTCCGGGACGCATCACTTCTGGTATCACGGAAGGCCCTGATCTACCCAGCACAGTCGAGCTTTTCCAGCCAGCGACCAACAGCCGTCCCGGTTCTGTGTCTGGGACTGGTGAAGGGTCCTTCCTTCGATTCTTGATGCGTCAATCACTTCCAGCATTCCGTCTTTTTCAACGCTTCCATTATCAACTTCTGATTGCCCACTGGGACGCACCGCCGCTGGCATTACGGAGCCAATGACAACTTAATCATCCTGGGAGACTTCAACCTACGCGACGTCTGCTGGAAGCGCAATGCTCGTGGATTTCACTTTCCTTGTGCATCCCGTTCGTCGATTGGTCAGGCATCATGTGATTTGCTGGATGCCTATTGCACTGCAAGACTCGGACAGATGAATGGAATTCCAAACCATAACAACCGCATGCTCGATCTTTGTTTCTTAAGTGAGGAGATGTGCACTGATTGTTCCATCATTTCAGCCCCCTCCGCGCTTGTTAAAAACTGTAGACATCATCCTCCTCTGCTGGTAAGAGGCACTGCGTGACTGTGATTCTAACCTCGTGGCATCGACGACATCCAAAATTCTTTTGTTCGCAATCGATCAATTCGTATCTAAGCGAATCAGTCGCGAACCCGTTAAACCTGCTTGGTCGAATTCAGAGCTTAAGAGATTGAAAGTATTTAAAAGGGCTGCTCTTCGTAGGCACAGCAAATACCAAACCGACCAGCTTCAGCGTCGTCTGAAATCAAATCCTAAGAACTGTTGGCGCCATGTGAATTCCCAAAGAAAGGAAAGCTGACTACCCTCAAGTATGACGGACGGCGTAGTGGAAGTGGACTCTATCGTGGGTATTGCCGACTTGTTTCGCACACAATTCAGCAGTGTTTTCAACGACGAACGACTCAGCACTCAGGATGTAATTGCTGCGTCTAGGAAATTCCTCCCTCAACCTTCTCCAGCGATCGATTTTCTATCACCAGTGAAATGGTTATTTCATCCGGGTGGCAGTTAAAAACTTCCACGGGTTCCGGTCGTGTCTTTCGTGTTCCCAATCCACAAGAAAGGCTGCAAAAGGACTGTTTAAAACTACCGCGGAATAGCTTTTTGAGTTGATTATACTCGAAAAATTGGTTCAAAGTTTTGCACACTGTATCTCGAC